TGACTTATTGGATGAGGGGGTGAGGGGGCACAGGTGGCTCCCAACGTCCTGGCTTGGTACCTGGGTGGGGACACAGATTCCAGGTGGGGCTGGCTGAGTGTGGGGTGTGGGGGGCACATCCAAGTGGAGATGCTCAGCACGCATTTGCCTGTTAGGATCAGGAGAAACGTCTAGATGAAGAAATGAATGCGTTAGTACAAGGAGGACATGGGACCAAGGGCTCTGAAGGCGAGATAGGAATTGTGCCTATTAGGTGGGTGTAGGCAAAGGGCCAGGAGAGCAGTTTCCAGGCTCTCGGCCTCACCTGGAAGGGTGCTGGCTCGGTTACTGGATGGCCGTCAGCTGTGGCCAGTTGCCATCGGCTGTGGCGAGTTGCCATCAGCTGTGGCCAGTTGGCCATCGGCTGTGGCCAGTTAGCCATCAGCCATTACTGTTTTGTATATAACTGCGGTAGCAAGCGTGGGTTGTGCGGACTCTACTTCCTGTGTCTCGCCTGGCTGCCAGCGAGACTGACAGCAGGAAGGCCCCTGGGGGGCGGGGGGGGGGGTATTGGTGGATGTTTGCTTCTCATGTCTCGACTACCTGCCATTGAGAAGATAGTGGTATGAACCACCTATCTGTGGCTCTGTTGTTCTTTCGGCCTCTGCGGACCCTGCGCTCCGGGAGCTGACCTCCGGCATGACACTTGGCGTGACAGTGGGGCAGGGGGCTAAGGGTGCACATACCAGGAGAAGAAAATAGCCTAAGAAAGACATGGAGGTTGAAGAAAGCAGCACAAAACCAGAAAAGCTAGTAATTCCGTGTAGCTTAAGCACTGGTTGCACTGGGGACCAGTGAGCTGTGAGACACGTAGCACAAGAGACACAGCAGGCCAGACTGCAGAAGTTATCTGGGTGCAGGGGTGAAGGGTCGACACAAATTCAGCAGGCAAAGGGGAGCCACCGGAGGTTCTTAAGCAGAAGACTGACGTGATCAAGGCTACCTGGTTGCAGGTTGCTCTAACCCAGGGGTCAAACTTGAGACAGAAGAGCTGCCAGGGGTCAGCAAATGGCAGCTAGCAAGCCACAAGCTCTGAAGTAAAATTGAAAATGAAAATAAAACTATCAGTTTCACTTATAAAATTTTTAAAGGATATTAGTCACATAATAGTGATTTTGTAAAAATATATTTATGGCTCTCGAATAACTTTTAAATTGTTGTGAGGGGCAGGATTGGCTCTTCCAGGAGTCGGCAAACTTTTGAGACAGAACATACCCAAAAAGCCACATGTGGCTCGCGAGGCGCAGTTTGCCAACCCCTGGTCTAGCCTAACAGAACAGGATGGGTTCAAATACAAGGCAGAAGAAAGGAATACAAGAGACAGGAATCATGACTTATTTGTTCCTTCAGCACTGAACTCCTTCTCTGCAGAAGCAAGCCCTTCTCCGCAATTGAATGTCTAGCCCCTAATCTGCTAAGGGTTTAGACCCCAAATCACCGAGTGTCCACGTTGCACATAAAGAGTAAACGGGCTGTAAGCACATCGGCACAGGCACACCTTGTCTTATTACACTTTGCTCCACTGCGATTCACAGGTGTGGTGTTTTTTACAAATCGAAGGCAGAACGCTCCACCAGCAAAAGGATTATGATTCGCTTTATTGTGAGACTCACTTTATTGCGGGGCTCTGGAACCGAACCCGCAATACCTTTGAGGTATGCCTGTATTAACAAATATAAATGAGTTTAACTCACCTGTTCAAAGGAGTTTCATATATACATGTACTAGAACATCATTCGACATTAAAAAGGAAGGAAATTCTGACACGTGACATACAATATGAAGGAACCTTGAGGACATTCGGTTGTGAAATAAGCCAGTCACAAAAGGACAAACACTGGATGGTTCCCCTCACGTATGAGGTACCTAGAGCGGTCAAATACACAGAGACAGAAAGAACGGTGGTTGCCCGTGGCTGGGGAGAGAGGTGGAGGAGGCTGTTTAATGGGTGTAGGTTCAGTTCTCAGAGTGAAGATTTCTGGAGATGGTCACAGCAATGTGAATGTACTTAACACAACTGAACTGTCCACTTAAAAATGCTTAAGAGGGTACATTTTATAACAAAGATAATTTTTAAAAGGAGTTTCAGAATGGTTCATTAAAACAAAACTCAACTCTAAAAAAGAAACCTACGGAAAGCACAGTGATTCGGAAAGGCTAAAAATAAAGGAACGGGAAAGATACACCAAGCACATGTAAACAAAAAGAAAGAAAGAAAGCTGTAATCCCGATATGAGAAGATAGAATTCGGACTCCAAGCACTGAAGGAGACAAAGATATGAGAGTCAGGCTACCTAGGCATCCAACACACCAGCACTTTCATCGAGCAGAGATTCCAGGAAATGCAAGATGCATCGAAGGGTCAAAAATAAGCAAAGCAGAAAACCTAAACATCACATTCGATAAACTACATGTTAAAATTCGTACCCTCCCAAAGAGAGAATATACCTTGTCATGCACATCATGAAAACTGACCGTTCTGAGGGCAAAAGAAACTGCAAAGCTTCGCTAGGTGGTTTCAGTGGGATAAAGGACGTAGACAGAAAACTCAAGAGCACCAAGCCAGTACCATTTACCAATGTTGTCGATACTATTGTTGTTGTTGTCCTCATTATTCACTGCCGGGTGGTCTTTCTGCTCACTCCCTGGTTATCTGACAAGTTCTAGAAGAGTCTGCCAAACAGGAGAGGTATAAATACGGAATCTTTACTGTCTCCATAAGAGCTACCATTTCCTCAGTGTTTATTACGTGCCAGCTGTGCTGTTTTCCGTGCCGTCCTTTACCGGAAGTAGCTTTCTAATTGTTTTATGAAAGCAAGCTTTGGCTTCTCTTAGGTCACCTGCAGGCCCAGGACAATACCAGGTGCATTCCGAGTTAAGTACTTGATGAAGACTGAAAAAAACGCCCAGTGATTAAGAACCCACTTCAAAGTCAGACAGGAGTTTCAGATTTCACTCTGGCACTTACAACCTGTGATCTTGGGCAAGTTCAAGAGCCTTTCCGAACCTCAGCTTTCTCATATGTAAACACAGGTAGGAGGAATACAAACACCAACCAGGATTGTTCAAAAGTTTGAGTGTAGTGACACATGGTAAGTGTCCAGCATGGTACCTGGTCCACAGGAGGCATTCAGTAAATGTTAGTCTGAGGTTGAAGAAAAAGTTACCAAACAGATAAACTTAGAATAGGGTTCTTTTTTCTATTAAAAAAAAAATCTTCAAATACAAATGTCCTCAATGAATTTGGAATAGTTTTTAAAAAATATTGTAAGGGTAACAGTGAAAGAAGTCATGGTACATTCATATTGTGGAATACAGCACTGCAACGAAAAAGGATGAATTGTGTCTGTATGTTCACGCATGGATAGACAGCCATATGATGGATTAAAAAAAAAAAAGCTTCAGAATAGGAACAGAATAGCTTCCCTCCTTGCTTTTTTTTTTTTTTTTTTTTTTTTNCAGGCACCCAGCAAGGTGCTGAGGGCCCAGCAGTCAGCAAGGCGGATTGATCCCTGTTCTTATGGCACTTACAGACCAGCACACACAACAGTGAGCGCACAGCACCTGCAACCCGTGTACACACGGCCCTGCCATGCGCACTTGTCCACACGCAGGTACACTGTACATACAGTCCGCGTGCAGGAGTCCCCCCGCATGCCCCACTGCCGGATCAGCTGCACATGACCCACGTAGACACATGTCTGTATCATTGACACATACCCAGTGTATGCATACCACATGTACCATATCCACCTCCTGTGCACGTGTCATTCACACATGGCCGGTGTACACACTTTCCTTAACCTGTGTCCACACACTGCACACACTCAGCATGTGTCACTCATGTACCTGTTCCTCTCTCTGCCCCACATGGGCAGCTTGGGAGGCCTAGGCCAGCCCCTGTGGGTGGGTCTGAGGGGATGGAGGTCAAAGATGCAGGGCCTGGACCCCCATCGCAGGGGAGAGAAGGTGGACCCTGGCTTCACGGCTGGCGGCCAGGAAATTATAGTCGACACCAAACCAAGCGGCCCCTTCGCGGGCCAGGTAATCAGGCCTCTCCCGGATTCGGCCTGACAGCTTAAATGTTCTAATTTCACTGCCAGGGGCCCAGGTCCCCCACTCTGGCCCAGCCCAGGCCTCGTCCGTCCATCATAATTGGACCCACGTTTTCATTACCCTGAGATTAGACAGGTCCCCTCCAGCCAGGGGGACGCCCACAGCTGCACGGGAACCATCCCCCACACAAATGCATTTACCTGATTATGGAGTTTATTTTATAGCAATTGTCCAGAATGCGGGAGGCCCCCTTCACCCTACCGCGTGCTCCCCAGACCCCAGAGGCCTCCACTAACCCTGGACAAGTGGTTTCTGCCTAATGTACTAAAGCCACATCCCCTAGGCCCTGCGATCCTGGAGGCCCCACTGGCCCCCTGCATGGACTGGGTCCCTTTCTGAAAAACCACTTAAGGAATTTGGAGAGGGAGTAAGGGAGGGAGAGAAGAATATTCCAAGAATCTTCTCCTGGGGTGCATATGGTGGGGGGTGGGTGTCTTTCTTCCAGAGCTGTGTTTCATTTATTCATTCAACAAACACATATTCAGTCTCTGAGCTAATGACAATGCCACTGATGGGTGAGCACGCTCATTTATTCAACACCTACTGTATGCCAGAGAAGGATTACGCACAAGGCTGCTGCTTTCCCAGAGGTCACAGTCTGGCAGAGGGGACCGGCANTATATATATATATATATATATATATAAATGAAAGGTCTGTAAGGATATACCTCTGTTAAAGGGGAGTAAGATTGGGGATGGACTTTTGAGGAGTTTCTTTGAATTTTTAACATTCCAGTTTCTTTTGTAATATCCAACATACACGCATGTGCAAACATGGAAGAAAGAATAGCAAACAAAACAAAGTTCTTGCGTTCTCTTTGGCCTGCATTTTTCATGGGACTTTGAAAGCTGTTGAATTGGATAGAGGAGGTGGTTAACTCTTCTGGCAAGTGTGAGAATTTCCATACCCAGCTTTTCTTTTTGAAAGAGAGAGAGGCTGAAGACGGGAGAGGGAGAAGGGATTGTTCCAGCATTACTCATTACCCAGCACATCCAAACAGGTAGTCTTACTCTGGTCCCTGCCACCACCTAAGCCCTGACACACAGAGGAACAGAGGAACTCTTTGATAAATGTCAACTGAACTAGAGCAATCAGCTGAAAGCCATTTGCTGAGCTGTCTGACTGCCCTGGGCCCGAGGTTTTCCTTTATTCATTTATCATGATATACGGCTTTGGCCAACATACACACAGGAGAGAAATTGTTGACATGTGGAACCCAACTACAGAAAATCTTTCAATTTCCACCCCACCCCCACCCCCGTCTGTTCACCAAATAAGTTTTTGTTTATTTAAAGACTACAGAGGATTTGGCTGTTAAGAACCAAATGCCTTTGGAGTGGAGTTACAACATAATTTATCATTTCCTCTGTTTATTAAAAAATCCTGCATCTTTGAGAAGCACATTTGCAGTGAGTGGGGGATTTCGGCCACTCATGAAAAACTGTTGCAAAGCCCTCGCCATGTGGCTCACCCCCAAAAAGGCTCCTTGACTGCTCTTTCTAGCCCTGTTCTTCCTTTAGTTGACTTCCAGTTGTGTGACGGCTACTCGGGACTGGTGACTGGGGTCTGACTGAGGACAGGCAAGCAGGGCGGAGATTGTTATAATAGCTTCTTCCATCTTCGGCCTAATTCTAACCTTGAGTCTCCTTGGCTGTCGTCAGCATATCCCACCAGTACAAGCAGGGGAGGAGTGCACCCTATCACCTCTAGCACAGAGAGGAGTCAAACAGCAAAGAGAAGCTGGGTGCTGCTTCAAAGGAATGCGGCAAGGCCCTGCTGCTGCCGAGGTGGGTGCTGTTCTCCAGGCAGACATTGGGCAGAGCTGGAGCGAACCTCTGACCTTCCACCCGAGACATAAATAGCAGCTCAGTCCAGTGCACCACACACCCCTCACTCAGAGACAGGGGTCTTACCCATTTGTGTACCTGAGACCCAACTGGTGCTCACTCATGTTTACGAAGGCAGCAGGACACACTGGGACGAGCAATGCTTTAGATCAAGCCTCAGTCTGAATCCCAGCTCTGCCATGTGCCAGCTGTGTAACCTTGGGCAAGAGACTTCACCTCTGACTGAGCCCCTCCCTCTCTGTAAAATGCGAATGACAGTGAATAATGAAACCCTCTTACTGATTTTGTTACTTTGGGCAAATTATCTCATATTGTCAAGTCTCAGTTTTCCCATTTGTAAAATGGAGATAACACACATCTTGCAAGTTTACTGTGAAGATAAAAAATACTGCCTAGAACCGTATCTAGCTCAGGATGGCTATGTTATAAGTGAATGAATGAATGAACAAACAAATGAATAAAAGAAAAATCAATGCATGGGGGAGGACTAACTTAACCCAGTACCCCAAAATGAGCCACAACAAACCCACTTATCTGTCAACAGGCAGACCCTGGGAAAAGGTATCTCACAACCAAGCAAATGTTGAGGACAGAGCAAGAGTGGAAAATGTTAAAATGGAAAGAAAAGACAAGCAGCCAGCATTTGCTGAGTAGCTACTATGTACAGTTCATTCATAGCACATTTGAGTGTCTACTGTGTCCCAGGCATTATGCCAAATTCTGAGGCTACTGAAGATATGCAGAGTAATTATCAGAAAGAACAATTAAGGTTCAGATAAAAACAGTTGATGGTGCTATGAGAGCCAATAATGGGCGGGGGGGGAATGACTTCCCAGAAGAAGTGCTTTTCCAGATGAGATGTGAAGGGCGAACAGGACTGGCCAGGTGAGGAGTGGAGGAAGGTGGCAACAGAGAAAAGAGCAGGTGTGAAAATGACCCAGAGGCAAAAGTACCGTTCCGGCTGCTTGACACACAGGTCCTCAGAGAGCATACAGCCAGACCCACTCTCCAGTTTCCTTTGTGGTTATTACTCTTTCCAATTCCTTTAGACTTTATTGTTTGGTGAGAATGGGCCTCTAGCAAAGCTACCCAGTCACAGGTTAGGGCCCACATCAGTCTAAGCAAAGATGAGAGCTGGGGACAGGGCATGACTAATTGTTTGGACAGGAAGCTCCCAACAGGAGGTGCAGTTGGCGCTAAGCCTGCCAGTGGTCCTAGCCATTTGGCAAATGCCTAAGGAGAGGCCCTCTGTTGGTAACAGGTACTCGCCGACAGCCACCCATGCCAGACGCCCAGAGCAGATGGGGTGGACAGGGGACAGGAGGCAGAGAAGGAACAAGTCTGGGTGTCCCACTGGAAGGCTGGGCCTCGCGAGGACTGCCAAGTACACAGTGACAGCCTTCTGTGTGGATGGGTAGACAGGTGCCAATTAGCCACCCAGGGATCCACCAGAAACGGGGCTCTGAACTGCTGGGCCTGGTGGACTTTCATCCAAGGAGCTCTTTGGTCTTCACTGCCAGGTGCCTGTCCAGCTCTGCAACTGTGTCGTCGGCCATTTGGCTGATCTGCAGAAGAACAAAATGAGACAGCCTGATAACTGGGGCTGGAAAAGGGTGGGGGAGAAATATACCAGGACTACGAAAAGGTTATCTGGGAAATAATATGGTGATAAAGCTCGCATTCACTGAGTCTCAGCCAGGCACCATACTAAGAACTTTGTATACACACTCTTACTGATTCCTAACCGCTAGACACTGTCATCCCCATTTCAAAGATGAGGAAACTGAGGCAGACAGGTCACTTGTTCGGGGTACACAACTAGAAAGTAGCAATGACAAGATTTAATCTGGGTAGTCTGATTCCACGGCCCCAAATTCTTAACTATTATTATAGAATACAGAGAAGCCAGCCTTATCTGTCCCTTAATGAGCCTCTAGAATTTCCTACACTCTGCTCCATAAAGCCCTCATATTAATTTATAAGACTATGAAGATCCCAATAGCTAAGCAGAAAGAAAAATGTCTTGAAGAAAGATGTACATCTGGTTAACAAACATGGAAAATTCAATAGACACTGAAGAAATGGAAATTAAAACAAGATATAATTCAGTCATCAGAGTTAACAAAATTTGATGTTGTGGTTTTTAATTACAATATTCAACGCCAGGAAGCTATGGTGAAATGGATAAGGTCACATATCATCAATAGGGATTCAAATTGATGCTAATGTTCATACCATTTTTAACCCCCAAATCTCTCAACTGGGAAATTACCACATGAATGGAATCTGAAAAACTTTCAGGTTCTATATACAAAGATATTTATCTATGCTTTATTTTTAATAATGAAAAATCAGAAAATCCAAAGTGCTAGAACAGGGAAGTAGTTGAATACATATAGCCATTAAAAATGGTTAAGATTATCCATTTCTTATGGAGGGGGTATGAATATGAATATGAGTAACATTCCATTATCTAGTTCTGAAATGTTTGAATGTTTGAATGTTTTATAACAAGCATGGACTGCTTTTGCAATCAGAAAAAAAAGAAATGATGTTTCAAGATACTATTTATAATATCATGGAGACATGCTCACGTTACCCCCAAGTTAAAGAAAAAGCAGTATATAAAATTGTGTATCTGTATATGCAACACAAATGATCTCAAATATGATTTTAAAAATGCATATTTTTTAAAACTGGGAGGAAACCTGTCAAAATATTCATAGTAATTATCTTCTGGTGATGGGAAGATAGCCGATATATTATTCATGTCGTTGTCTGTCACATCTACTATATACCAGAAGACCTCGTATATAGTAAGTGCTCGGGAAATATTTACTCAATGAATATTAAAGTTTACTGTGCTTTTCTATATTTTCCCAATTTTTTTGCAATAAACACACACTCCCTCTGAGAATGATAAACACAGAACACAACTGGGTAGGAGTTGCAGTCTCCCCCCCCCACCCCCACCCCCAGGTCTGAGAGGAACCTAAGGCAGGAAGCCTCAGGCTGGAAGCTTGGAAAGGAGCAGCAGTGCCCAGGATCTGTGTGCTCAGCAGCACAGCGGCTGTTTGACATCTTGATTTGCAGACCACAGGCCTTGGCCAGAAACTGCAAAATAAATGCACTAGAAAGGGTAGAAACTAAAAAGGGTTTGAAGCAATTGGTCCCAGGCACGGAGATAGCCAGGCTCTCACCATAGCAACAGCTGCACATTTTTCAGCTGGAAAAGCGAAATTTCAGGGGCTGCTGGGCACTCTGGAAGAGCAACAGGGTGCAGGACGGCTGCTCGGTCCCTCCTCACTCAGCCAGCCACACACCCTGATACGCTTCTTTTGCCCCCACCTGAGCAGCTTGCTTTAAGTGGGCTGTGGGGGCGTGCCCAGCAGTACTGCCCAGCAGGCATGCCCCTGCAGGCTGGCAGCCTGGGACAGCCAGGAAAGAGGGTGGCAAGCCCCCTCTGGAAGAGTGGTGTTTGGGGACACAGGCGGGGACTGGGAGGAGGGAGGGTACCTAGGGCAACAATTTGATAACGATGGTTCTGGGTGAAAATCTCAGTGCAGTGGCTGTGTAAGTCATTTCCCCACTCTGAGACTCAGTTTCTTCATCTACCCAATGGGGATGCTAGTCCCTTCCTCAAAAAGTAAGGGGTTGGGAGGGTTAAAGTCATGAATACACGAGCATGTTTTAAATTGGTTATTTGCTATGCAAATGCTGCTTGTGTTACTGATTTTTATATCACTTCATGACTTCCTTCCAAATCAATCAATTAATGAAAACATTTACTAACTTTCTACAATATTACAGGCACAAAGGGCCCTTGGGGACAGTCTGCCTGCAAGTGCATCTTTTCCATCTTGATCAGACTTCTTTAAACAATGATGAACAACAAGGCCAAGGACACCAACATCGCCCTCTTACTACAGTCCAGACACTGGGCTAAAAACTTCACAGTGCATTATTTCACATAATCCTCAAAACATACAAATACTATTATCATGTCCCCTTAATGTATTATGAATTTTAATTATTTCACCTGACAGTTACATAGTAGAGTTCATACCATGCAAAAGTGTTTTGTCCTCTGTTACTTGATGCAAATCCAACAACCTCACACAACCTCTATAAGGCGGGTGGACAGTTGTTACGGAAGAGTAACCCAGGGCATGAAGTGTCACTAACCTGCCCAAGGCCACGTCAGAAGTCAGTGGTGTGACTGAGCCAGGAACTCACCCACCCCAATGGCCAGTTTGGTGCCACCACTCCCTCTGAAGAGTCCACGCCCCCAACCTAGTCCTTCCTCCTCCCAGGTAGGCTCATTAAAACAGTCAATCCATATTCAAAGTCACAAGGTGGGAGAGAAGTGGGATGGACAAACAGGCAAACACTACCGAGGACTAGCCACCATACTGGCCACTTTTAAGTATGTTGTGTTATTTGGTTCTCTTACAATCCTGTGCAATAGGCATTACTGCTACCACTTTACAGTGCGGAAACAGAGGCTCAGAAAGGTGAAACCAGTTGCTGACCTTAACAGGTAAAAAATGAAAGAGCTATGATTTGAATCCAGGTCAGTCGGACACCAAACAAGAGCCCTTTCCATTACAATATGCTGCCTCATAACAATTATAACACCATCATCAATAGTATCATCGGGGCTGTCGTGGTGGTCATCATCCTCCCATTTCATTGCATCAGCATCAGCATCACACTTGCTCCTTACAAGTTCAGGAAAACAAAAGGCAGAGAGGAAAGGGGGATGGCAGAGCACATGGCATACCCCTGGGGCAGGCTTCCCTGAGGCCTGCCTCAGAACACCCCCAATGCTGCAGGGTGCTGCTCCACTCCTCGCTCAGGGCGCCCTGCCTGCCTGCCTGCTAGGAGCCTTCCCCTCCTTCAGCCCCACTAGCACCCAGCTTCACTTCAGAGCAGTTTCTCAGAAAAAGGCGGCAGTGAAAGGATCTTGGCCGGATTTACTGGTGGTTTCTGCCAAGTGCTTTAATGTTCAGCAGGCCCATTTACAGCAAACTCAAGCGAAGGTGAAACAGCAGGCTGACAGATGTCAGAGTCTCGGGTGGGAAGACCCTGGCCCCTCAGCAGAGCTGGCCTGGGCTGGTGGTTGGGAAGTTGGCAGCGAGAGGGTTTGGGGGTCAGATATGATTGCAGGGATAGAACCTACAAAACAATAATTTCCTTCTCACACACCAAAGATGAAACATTTTTATAATACGGTTTTTTAAAATCTGACCTCAAAAGACTTGGAAAATTTTTTAAAAATTAAGAAAATCTCACAAAGAATAAAATTAAAATTGTGCATAATCCCATTACCTGAAATGACCACCATTAACATTTTGAAGTGATTAAGCTGCCAACTGTTTATGTATATGAAGCTCTTCATTATAAAAATGAAATACTATTCTGTAATCTACCTTAGTAAACTTTTTGGAATTTATTTTTTTATGTCTGTAAAATGTCATAACTCTCTCCTCTGTCTCTCTCTCTCTCTACCCCCCTCCCCCTTTCCCTCCCTCCCTCCTATCTATCTATCTATCTATCTATCTATCTATCTATCTATCTATCTATCTATCTAAAGATTCCAGTACACAGATGTAAAACAACTTATTTTCCCAGTGTCAGAAATTTAGTCAGTTTTCAGTTTTCTACTATTATACATACTATATCAACAGACGCTTCTGTAGATAAGATTACTGACAATTTATTTTGGATACATTCCTAAGTCACTGAATCAGAAATGTATGGATTTGGGTATATCCTGCCATATTAATCTGTAGAAAAATTGTATGGATTTATATAAAGAATAACTTAGTCTTCCCTGTGGAGTGTGGAAGTAGAAGCAATACTTCCAACATAAGTAAGATTTTAAACTCACATTAAAAATTTTAGGTTCAAATGCTAGGGATTAGAAAAGGCAAATTAGAAAAAAAAAAATACACATATTCTTCTAAAGACCCTGTAAGTGATTTAGGCAGTACTTACCAAGAACCTTAAAAATACGCATTCCCTTTGTGCTATAATTCCACACTTGGGACTGTATCTTAGGGAAATCATCTCAACAAAGATATTTGTATAAAAATCTTCACTGCAATCTTATTTATAATAACAAGTTTAAACAAACTAAATGTTCAACGAGAGGCTTATGAAAGGAAACTATGGTATAATCATAAGACGGACAATTTTGTAACCGTTAGAAATGGCTGTTTACAAAGAGTTTTAAGACACAAGAAAACGTTAATTGTTTTAATGCTGAACAGAAAATAAAAAGCTGGATACAAAATTGTATGTACACTACATGTTCTCAATCATATCAAAACCATGTAGTTTTCTTAAAAAGGGGGTAAATAAGAACTATTCCAAAATGTTAATAGCAGTTGCTTCTGCAATGTGGCAGTATGGTAAATTTTCCCCCATTTTTTAAAACAGTCTTCTGAACTCTACATTTTCTACAATGAGCACACGATACTTTGATAATCAGGAACAAAGTAAACAAATATTTTTAAAAACTGCTTGATAAAGCAACACTCAGCCCCTGCCTTATTTAAACAAAAACACACACCAAAAACTACAGATCCACGACTTCTGTCAGGAAAAAGAACAAAACGAAGTATGCACAAGGCTGTCGGCTGAATGTTTTCTTACTGAAAGTTCAGTAAATTAAGTTATTATCAACAATGGTGAGAACTAACACTTAAATAATAATGTCTTTAATAAAGACGGTCGCACTGGATATATCCTGAAATACATACAGTATGACCTTTTTTCTTGAATTATTACATAGATGAGTATGCTTACAGACGTTAACTTGAATGTTAACAACGGTTATCTCTGGGTGATGAAATTTCAGTTACTTCTTAATTTTTAAAAAATTTACACTAGGGATGACCGGTTAGCTCAGTTGGTTAGAGAATGTGTTGCTGATAACTCCAAGGTTGCCGGTTCAATTCCCGCATGGGCCAATGTGAGCTGCGCCCTCCTTAAAAGAGTCAACTATGCCCTTGTAGCATGAAAGCAACGTGTGACCAATGACCATGGCTGTTCCCCAATAAAAAAATTAAAAAAAATTTACACTAAACATGGATTATTCTTTTATTTCTGGTATTATACTAAAGTTATTTTCATTTTGAAAAATAATAACAAGGACTGAATAAAAAAAATCTACTCTGAAGAGAAAGGTAAAAAGGCAGGTGCGAATGAGAGAAGGCTTCTAGAAAGGTCTGTGTCCAGTGGGTTTTAGCCAGACAGCTGGTTCTCTGATCATTCTTCCTTTTTCAAGCAGCGTGGGCTCGGGTCTCTGAGGCAGATGCCCAGACTTGCTGAGTGAGGAGTGACTGGCAGGTCTTGGAGGTCCACAGGCTAACCACCAGGAAGCAGGGAAGAGGCCAAGTGTCAGCTATAGAGATGGAACCCCTTGGGAGATGGACAAGGAGCTGCCCAGCTGGGGCCAGGGCCCGAACTCTTCCGAGGCCTGATCAGTGCTCAGAAAACGCCAGCCTAGTCTCTGAACCCCTTTTAGCTGATACAGGGAGACAGGAGAGCACGCACATTGCATGAAGGGAGCTTTGAGGGTCTAGGTGTCAGACACTCTAATAGTGCTTCTAGCAGCCCCAGGGCAACCTTTCAAGGTAGGAATTACCCTTTTTATGGAAGAAACAGACTCCAAGGAGTCAAGTAACTTCCCCAAGGTCACAGAACATCAAGTGCAGAACCACCACTTCTAACTTGGGTGCCATTCCAGGGGCACACCGGAAAGCTTCTAGGTCATTACCTTCCATGTCTGTTTTTGCAGAATTATCCAGAGAAGTTTTTAAAAATACGCATTCTTGGGTAGACCTACTGAATCAGAAAATGCAGGAGCAGTGCCCAGGAATCCATCTAAAATTCTCCTCTGGGTGATTGTTTGGCCTAGTCTACGACTAGCATTCTACCTGCTGGTCCAGAAGGGGAGCAGTTAGTCAACTTATGGCCTCCTCCAGATGTCCCCCAACGGTTATCCTTGCCTCCCGCTTCTTACCTCTTTACTCCTCCATCCCGCTCACACTCCTATTCAGTCTTCCTAAAATAATGCTTTTATTGTGGACGAGGCAGCTTTGGCTAAGCCCTTTTCAGTACACTAACCATTATAAATTTTATCTCCTAAACACTGGTATATTCATCTCCCGATCTTAATTCCACCTGTACTACTCAGGTTCAGGCCACCGTCATTTCCTGGTTGGATTTCCACGATGGCCTCTCTGGCCTCCCTGCCTGCAGTCTTGTCCCCTACAGTGTGTTTTCTACCCAGCCACCATAGCGCTTTTCATAAACACAGATGTCATATCCCCACTGTGTGGAAAACATTTTTCAAGGTAGTTGCTCTAAAAATCTGTATCCGTAGGCCCCACTTCAGACTCACTGACTCAGTCTCTGGGAGTGGGGCCCCACATCTTGTATTTTTATAAGCTCCTCCAGTGATTATGATGCTATGATAGATTATTGTTCAATAAATATTCAGTCCCTTCCCCAGACCTCCATGAACGTAAATACTTCCCTGCCCCAGTGATAACTGGCTTGGCCCATGTGATTTGCTTGGTTCATGGGATGTGAAAGGAACCTTAAAATGTACTTGATTGGCTGGGGTTATGCACTAGGTGTCTACTGCTCCCATGAAAAGATGCCCTGGGAAGCTTGTTGATTCCAGAAGATTGAGAGATATATAAAGCTGACTTAAACCCAATCAAAGACATGGAGCCGAGCCCACTAGGCCCAACACAGAACAGGTCTATCCCAGATGACCCACAGATACGAGAAGAGGAAATAATGGTTGCTGTGGTAACCACTGAGTTTTGAGGTATTATAGTTCCTTATGCAGCATCATTGTGACCACAGATGACTGATAAGATGCGTAGCCAACGTGGGACACTCTGGACAAGTCCAAGTCCAAGCTCCTCAGCCTGGCATGCAGGACCTTCTAGAACGGGCTGGCCACCCTGTCTTCTCTCGCCATTCCCTTGTCCCAGCCTCGGTTCGGGATTAGCTAACTGAACAATGTTCTCTGACATCACCACACCTCCGTACATGCTGTTCTACCTTTCCCACTCATCTCGCACTACTGCACTCCAGTAGCTCCTTGAAGCCGTAAGTGCCACCACCCGGCACCCTGAGAACACTGTTACATCCTCACCTGTCAGCACCAGACAACCAGCCACAGACAGGAGAGCATCGGCACAGGGGCTCGGAAATCAGGCTGCCTGTGTTTGGATCCCATTTCTGCCTTTCACCAGCAGTGTGGCTCTGGGCAAGGTTTTCAGCAACTCTGCACCTCAGCTTCCTCACTCCTTCCACCCCACAGCTTTGTAGTGACGATGATACATGAAGGGGGGTAGATGTTCAGCACAGAACCCAGCACACAGCCAAAGGTCAACAGGTCGCCTCCTCCATGTCCCAGGGCCCAGCACAGGGTGGGGCCCAGGACAGACTCAGCCAATGAAAGACCAGGGGTACTGTGGTTTCATTTTCCTCCCTTTTGACATGAACCCGTGATTCCCTGGCCAGATACATAAACACTATGTCTGTTGGGAACAGTACCTGCTTTTCTATGAGCCGGATGGTGTCCTCCGAGGCCTTGTCCTTTGACTTCTTCAGCTTATTCATCGCGCTGGTACGAACCTTCCGCAAGGACTCTTTGGCTTTGTTGGTGTTCTGCTTGGCCAGTTTCACTAGCATTTCCCTGTGCTCCCTGGTCACTCTGATAAAAAAACAAAAGAACATTCAACAAAACCATCTTACTCACATGCACCGCTCGCCAAGAATTTAACATCACGCTGTCCATGAGCTCAGCGGTTTGTAACCTTACTCTCTGTTGGTGGTTGACGCTCACATTCCTGACACATGCCTATGGTGGGGTGCTCAGGGTCAAGTGCAGTTCCCGGTGAGTGAGCTGAGCAGAGCCAGTAAGTAGTACTTAAAAGCATGAGCCAGGGGGTCTAGGCAGACCCGGGGTCAAATCTTGGCCGTGCCACTGACGAGAAACATAACCGACTTCCTCTCCTCAGAGTCCCCATCTTTATAATGGGGATGTCAGCATCTGTCTTAGGCAGCAGTGTGGAGAGTATAGGAGATGATGCATGTTAAGTTGTTTAGCACGGACCCTGGCACATTTTAAGTGTTCAATCAAAAGAAGCAATAATTAGCTATAACGCCACCCCTTCTCTCCCACTACAGAAAGCAATGCAAATAAGTGATGATGCTATAGCTATCTCTAAATAGCCCCAAACAAGTAAGTAGCAACCTTCAGAATCTTAACTATTATCATAGCAAATTGTTAATTACCTCAAAACTGATCAAGATATAACACGAGTCACAACATAACATATGAGAACCACTGCACCAGTTAACTTCCGTGAAGAACCCATGAGAGTGTCTGGCCCATTAGAAATGCTTAATGAATGTCAGTGGTTTTTACTATTAACATCCTCATCATAATCAGAACGAGCACATTGAGGGTCTACTATAAACCACGAGGACAGGCGCTTTACAGGTTGATCCTTACAAAACTGTATGAGGCAGTTATTATTACTTCTATTTCACCTTTAATCAATCTCGACAACACAGCAGCGTAGCCCAGCATGTCTGTCCTGCCTCTGTTTCTTCATCATGCACACACTGAGGGCCTGCTGCTACCTATCAAAACCAGTGCTGGGCACTGAAGGCGCTACGATGGCCATCACAGACCTTCGTCCCGCCCTCCAGGGGCTTAGCTGGGGAGAGAGATAAGAAAGAGAAATGTACAAGCGTGTGAGAAGTGCCGTGGTAGGGGGAGTGGGGAAGGACAAGGTGCCACCGGAGCACAAAAGCAGCTCAGCTACCTCACCAGGAGCGGTCCGAGTCTGGGGAGGGCGCAGCAAGGGAAGACTCTCCTAGAGAAATCATACCTCAATGTGGTATTCATTGGGTCTGTTCACTAGGAGTCTGGTTCTTATTCCTGCTGGTAGGAATGCATTTCCCCATCCTCTCTGACATTTCGTGTGGCTGTACAGCTTGCTTAGGCCAGCGAAACGTGAGCAGAAAAGATGGGTATCGCCTGAGGGCAGAAGCTCTAAGAGCCAGTGCGTGCTCTGCCACGTTTGTTGCCTTTGGCCACAGTATAAGTGGGGTGCCATCAGCTTGGGTCCCAGAGTGACTATGATGAACAGCACCCATCCTGCAGCCTGAGCAAGAAATAAATTTCTCCTGTTACAAGCCATGGAGACTGGGGGGGCTGCTTGTTACTACAGCATAGCCCATCCTATCCCGACTAATAGCACACGAGGATCTGCAGAGGGAGTGCAAGCTGCCAGTACGGCGTGGCAAAGAGAGACTTCCAGGAGGAGGACAGAGCATGTAGAAAGCCTCTGAGCTGCAGAGACCATGCTTCATTTGAAAAATTGAGCGCAGATAACGAAGAGAGTGACAAGAAATGGGGCTGGAAAGCCATCTCATGGGGGGGTCTTGTAAGATCATAAGTTCCATTTTACAGATTCAGAAATGAGGCCCAAAGAAGTTTGGTATCTTACACAAAGTCAAGTCCAAACTGGTCTGTCTCAAAAACCAATGGTCTGAGTAGGACAAAATTCCTCTGCCCACCGAGTCCTGAAATGGACATCAGTGGCAGATGGTTCCTGACCCCTCAATGTGGTGCTTGCTTAGTAAGGACAATCCCAAGTTCTGGGTTCATGTTCCATGGAAAACAGCGGCAAGCAGGGGTTAAAGAGTTAGTGGCATCTTCCTTATGTTTATTTTCCCTAATAGGATGAGAAAAAATTTTTTTTTTATTTTGAGAGGATAAACTCTGAAGACAAAGTAGACAACTGTGTTATAAATAAATCCTTCTGGGTTCAGCTATTTGAAGGTATTCTCCAAATAAAAAGGATCCTGATTACTACCGTTATTAAACCCCTGTATGCCAGGTGAGTACTTTAAGTTCATTACCTCACAGATCTTCACAACAACGCTTCAAACTAGATTCCCACACCCCTCATCTGCAATGAGCAAACTGAGGCACGCAGATGTTAAGTAACGTGAGTGACAGAACTGGGATTCAAATCCAGAGCTTTCTGGCCTGTACTCTTTCCACTACTCCATGCGGCCTACTCCTTGTAATCTATTTCACATAAATTATGCACTGCTGCTGTTACTTCTGCTTCCAGGCAGAAAGCTTTTCAAAGTCAGTAATTTGAATCTTGGGACTGAAAAGGACAAAACCACCATGTCAGGAGTTTAGGGATTTGGATCAGATCTTGTTACTTTTATGGTTTTTAATTCATTGAACAAAAATCATGCTGACATGTTTAGGTCTCTTTTTTGTGCTGCCAAAGCACATGTCAGTATAAGGAAGGAACAGGAAAATTAAAACTTGATCCACTGATTCAAAAAACTTAATCCTGCTGAAATACTAGGAGGGGCAAAAAATAAATGAATCTAAGTCTGTAAGAAACCTCTTAAACTTCTCTAACAAGAAGTATTTCAATCTTATATTTCATATATAATTTGAAATAGGGATCCTACTGTTTAGATCATCTTTAATAAAATAAATTTTTTTTATCTAATCAACATCCTTTTCACTACATTGGTTTATATTTTACATGAAGAAAAAAACCATATATTTAAAAAAACATAAACTGGGGCTCAACAAAATCTTAAGAGTAAAAGGTTATATAAAGAAAAAATCACGATACCTGTAATTTGGCCTTAGTAAAGTGTATTTTGTATTAATGTCAATGTGACATTACTACACTGTTAACTTCAGATAGTTTCCATACATAATAGCATCCTATCAGAAGCTGACTATCCTTGGGCAAGTTACTTAATTCTCTCTGAGCCTCAGTTTTCTCATCTCTAAAATGAAGATGATAAAAACACTTTACAGGGTGATTGGGAGAAGCAGACACAACATCTATAAAGTACCAATACAGGGAGCGGCATATAGTAGCCTTGAATAAATGACAGCGTTTATGAATGTCTTAATCAAACACAATTACATTCTCATGAAACAAGGGCACATCTGTTTTAGAAAAGAAACATACTCTATTATGGAAATATTTTAATTCCTTTCCAAACCAGTGATTAATACATCTGATCGTCTCCATGTCAAATCTGCAGGGTTCTCTGCGAACTCGCTAGTTTGTATCCCAGGCTTCCGAACTCAGCCAGCGGGTTCTGAACAGCCGATTTGCCCTTGGTGTGCATTTGTTCATCAAGCACTGGCTGAGGCCCCTGTGTCCCACGCCAGGTCCCGGGCCACCCTGAGGAGCTGCAGGGCGGAGACAGGCCTAGGCCAACTTCTCCCGAGGCTCAGTCCCGTGGTGGAGACAAACGTGTCAACCACTACTTAGAAAGACTGACTGCTGCTAGGACAGACGGACCTCCTGTGGAAGGCACATGCAGAGTACTAGTCACACTGCCCTGAGATGTGGAGAATGCCCAACTTGTGAGCTGCGGAAGAAAGGAAAGGGCATTTCAGGCAGAAGCATGGTGAGAAATATCATGACAGGAGGGCATGAGGCTTAAAAGGGGCAACCGGGTCAAATTTGTTCTGTAGACCCGGAGTTTTCAAATTCTTCTTTAGCCACAAAATCCTGGCTTCAAAGAAAATCAGGGCAGAGGCCCCATTTATAAAACATATAAAAAGAGAGCTATTCCAGTTAATGAAGAAAAGGGCAGTAGGGAAGGATGGCACTCTATCCCGGGCCTGAGGGAAAGGACAGGGAGGAGGGTAACACTATCAAGGGCCTGAGCGTAGCTCTACCCTGACTCCCCTCCATCTGGGACACCACCTGCTGGCTGAGTGACCTTAAGCAAGCTACTTAAACTCTGAGTTTTGATTTTCTCACCTGGAAACAGAAATTGAAAACAAACAAACAAAAACAGCATCTACCTTTCAGAGTTATTTGGAGGATTAGATGAAATAACACACAAAAAGTATACAGTACAAAGCTTGGTAGAAAAAAAAATCATCAGAAAACATAAGCTGCCTTTGTTGCGATTGTTACTTATGTTTTGGCAATCACTGATGCATCTTCAAATAATGAAGAATTTCTCCACGAAAGTTTTTATCAGCAGAGAAATGGCAGGGCAAACAATCCAGGCTTCATCAAGATGACTGTTTGGGATCTGATGAGTAATTGAACATCTCACACACATTTTAAAATCCAAATGCTCCCAGCATACAGCCCTGAAATGTTCTTTTTTTCAGCATTCATTCATTCATTCAGTTTATAGTTTCATTCTCCAGCTATTTACTGGGCACCTACTGTGTGACAGTCACCATGTCAGGCACTACGGATATAGCATTAAACACACATGCGCTTATAGTCTGGCAAGGAAAGCAGTCATTAAACAAACACACGCACAATACATCACAGTCATACTAAGCACAATAAAGACATACAGAGTTCTCTGAACATAACAGCAGGGGAAGGGAGTCTGACCAAGCTCTCCTTGCAGGACTCCGGGAACTAAAGGTGGAGATATTTCAGTTAAGATGAGTAAGAGTGGAGGGGCTAGGGGAAGCTCACTCCCACCAGAGGAAATGGCCTCTGTAAAGTAAAGGCATTTTTCCAAGTTAGAAGGCGACTACTGCTTATGAGGGGGGAAAAGGCAGCGTGCTGCAGCCCAGAACCCAGACGAGAAAGACTGTCCCAAATGAGGAGGCTGGAGAGGCTGGCAAGGGCAAGGCTACATACACAGGCCCTCCTGAGCCTCAGCAGA